TCGAGCACGAACACGACGCACGCAGCGAGGAGCGCATAGACGCACGTGGCGCTTTCCCAGAACGTTTGCGTGCTCAGAAGGCCGAGGGCCCCGGCGAGGGCGCAGACGCCGGCTCCCGCGAGGCCGAGTTTGTGCGCGATGGACGCGTACGAGTCCGCCATCAGATGAAGCGTTCCGCCCTGAATGCGTCTCTAAACGTTTGTCTGTTAGCCGCGGCGCAAGGAGGAACCGAAGGGACGTTTGCCTGAATGCGTCTCTGAACGTAGGGGCGGCGGGAGACCCGCGGGAGCTCAGGTGGCTCGAGGCGTCGCCGCTCTAAACGTTGCCACACCTGCGGGCTCTCTCAATCGGCGAAGCACCCCGCCTACGAGCCGACTTGTGGGCTCTGGACAGGAGCCTGCCAGACAGCGATCGTCCTCCCCGCCCCACGCCTACCTCGCGAGCGCCGCCCCCACCCTTAGATGGCGTCGAAGCGCCGCTCCTCGGCCCAGTAGTTGCGGCAGGCCGCGGGCGTCGCGAGGGGGCACGACGTCGCGAGGATCGAGTCCGCGAAGAGCGCGCCGTTCTCGATCTCGCCGTCGACGTCGCCCGCGCCGTCCTCGACCTCCTCCTCGATCTGCTGGAAGAGCGCGAGGCGCGCCTCCGGCGGCAGGACGTCGCGGCCGAGGACGGCGTCGCAGAGGGTGTTGAACTCGTCGACGTCGAGGCCGCCCGCGCCGTCGGCGTCGAACTCGACGAAGCACGCGGAGAGCCGCGCCGCGTGGTCGGCGACGGCCGCGGCGCAGGCGTCGACGAGGAGCGCGGCGGCGGCGTCGAAGTCCACGCCCGAGGCCATCTTGCCCTGGTGGCGGAACGCGCGCGGCGGCACGTCGGGCAGCGCGGCGACGTCCGCGCGCAACCGCGACCGCCGCGCGGGCGAGAGGAGGAGCCGCGGCGCGTCCGCGCGGTCCACGGCCTCGAGGAGCCGCCGCTTCGCGACGACGCAGGGCCCCTTCTCCAGATCCTCCTTGATGTGCTTGAACTCGCCGCGCCACGCGGACGACACGAGCGCGAAGAACGCCTCCGCGAGCACCGGCGAGTAGGGCGCGCGGCCGTCGAGGCCCAGCAGCGCGCGGAACGTCGCGACGCGCGCGTCGCCCTTCTCCGGCGCGCCGTGGATGTCCGCGGACTTGACCGTGGCCTTGAGCTTCTTGAGCGCGACGTGCTTGAGCCCCGCGCGGCGCCGCCAGTACTCGCGGAGCAGGCGGTCGAAGGGCGCGGGCGCGTGGCCCCGGTCGAGCGCGACGGCGTCGGCGTCGACCTTCTTCTCGTAGACCTCGTAGACGATGGACACGAGCGCGTCGCGGTGCAGGAGCTCGGCCTTGGCCGCCTGCTTCCTCAACTTGTCGAAGGGCCGGTCGAGGCGCTCGGGCATCACATGCACGGGCGCGCGCGCGGACGCGCGCAGCGACGCGAGCCGCGCGGCCTCGTCGTCGGCCGCGGGCGCGGGCGCGCCGTCCTCGCCGCGCCACCACGCGAGGCCCGCCTCGTTGCCGTCCTGCGACGCGGCGTCGCGCGTCGGCGCGGCGACGCGAAAATCCAGCTCCGTCCACGTGCCCGCGTCGCGGCTCCGGACCGCGTCGGTCTGGGTCTGGGCCTCGTAGTGGGGCCGCCACGTCGAGTCCTTGGCCGCGGCCTTGAGGCGGTAGTAGTGCATCTCCTTGGACCGCGCGAAGCGGTGCCAGTTCGCGAGCGCGACGGCGCCGCGCCACCGCGCGTTCTCGAGCTCGAGGTCCTCCATGCGCTGCTCGCGCTCCTCGTCGCCGAGCTCGTCGATGTCGATCTTGCGCTGGAGCGCCTCGACCTCGCGCTTGAGGCGCAGCGCGGTCTCGAGGTACGCGTCGCGCTCGTGCTCGAGGCGCGCGGCCTCGTCGCGCGTGCGCTGGTGGTCGTCGCAGAGCGCGCCGGCGAAGTCGCCGCGCCGCGCCGCGTCGAAGCCCAGGTACTTGGCGTGGACCTCGTCGGCGAAGGCGTCGGACTTGGCGTAGCGGCTCAGCGTCGCCGCGAGCGCGCGCGCGTCGGCCGCGAAGCGGAGGGGCCGCCGCGAGATGAGGGCCGCGGCGAGGCGCTCGAGGGGCAGGCGCCGGCTCTGGGACAGCTTCGAGTGGAGGCAGTAGGCGCAGCGCTCGCAGTCCGCGAACGTGCACGCGCCGCAGTAGCCCGCGCCCCGCGCCGCGTCCGCGGCGCGCGGCACGACGCGGTGCGTGAGGCCCGCGGGCGGCGGGGGCGACTCGCCGCCGAGCCAGGCGAGCTCCGGCGGCGGCGCGGCGCCGCGCTCGGGCGGCGCGCCGGCGTCGAACGTGAGCACCGTCGCCGCGGCCGACGGCTCCTCGAGGTCGCGGCGATGGGGGGGCGACGGCGACCGCCGCGGCGGCGGGCTCCGGCTCCGCGGCGGGCTCCGCGACCTCCGGGCCCGGCCCTTGGCCGCGGGCGCGGACCCCGGCCGCGCGCCGAACGCGCGGAACGCGCCCGCGGCGCGGCCGCCGCCGTCCGCCGTCGCGGGCCGCGGGCCCCGGGCGACGACGGGCGACAGCACGACCTCGCGCCGCGGCGTCGCCGCGTCGAGGCCGTCGCTTCCGCCGTCGATCTCGCCGCTGTAGGCGCGGTAGACGCTCTCGACGGACGTCGGCAGCTCCCAGAGGCCGACGTCCGGCGGCGGCCGCCGCCGCTCGGGCGACGGCGGCCGCGGCCGCGGCGACGCGGGCGGCGACGCGGCGCGCGCCAGCGACGTCGGCGCCCGCAGGGGCGGCTCGTCGCCGTCCTCGTCGAGGTAGACGGGGCCGCCCGCGGCCGCGGCGCCGCCGCCGCCGTCGCGCCGCGGCGACCCGGCGCGCTCGAAGCGGTCCGGCGGCGGCGCCTCGTGGCGGTGGAGCAGCGCCTCCGTCGCCTTGAGCTCCTCGAAGGCGCCGCGGCGCTCCGGCGCCGGCGACCGCGGCGCCGCGGGCGCCGCGGGCTCCTCGACGGCCGCGCCGCGCCGCGCGGACCCGCGGAGGAAGCTCGCGAGCGACTTGGACTGGGATAGCTGCGTGCTCGACCGCCGGCCCACGGCCGTCGACGGCCGCCGCCGCAGCGGCGGCGGCGCGGCGCTCCGCGCGGCGTCCGCGGTCGCGGGCCGCGCGCCGCGCGCCGCCGCGAGCGCGAGCGTCCCGAACGCGCCCGTCGCGACGTCGCGGCGCCCGCCGCCGGCGGCGTCCGCCGCCCGCATGTGCCGGTCGCGCTTCGCCGCGGCCTCGGCGAGGTACTCGATGTGCGCCTCGTGGCGCCGCACCTCGACCATGTCCTGCATGCGCTGGCGGAAGCGCCGGTGCTTCGAGGCGGCGAGCTTGTCGCGGTAGATCGACGGCGCGTCGAGCGTCGACACCGTCGCCAGGGACAGCCCGGCGAGGATCGACTGCGCCGCGTCGAGCCGCGACGCCAGGTCGCGCGCGGGCAGCGTCATGGCAGCCCACAAGGCGCTCTCCAGAGGGGAAACAAAAACGCCCAAGGATGCGAAACCCCAATTGCTCGGGATGCTGGCATCCTTGAGTTTGATGGTGCCTCGGGGCAGCATGTGGAGCCTCGACCGCCGTCGCGCGTCGACGCGCTGACGCCATGGCGCCTCGCACGCTCACCGTCGTCGTGCTCCGCGAGGACGCCGCGGCGCCGTTCTGCATGCGCGCGTCCTGCGCCCGCGGCACGCCGCTGGCGAAGGTCGTCCGCCGGGCGCTCCGCGGCTGCGCGCGGAAGCACGGCGACGCGCCGCCCGCGGATCGCATGGTCCTGCGCGCGGACGCGCCGCCCGCGGATCGCGTGGTCCTGCGCGCGGCGGGCGCGGAGATCGACGGCGGCGCGCTCGTCGACGCGCTCGACGACGGCGCGACCGTCGTCGTCGCCGCCGCCGCCGCGGCCGCCGCGCCGCCGCCGCGGCTGCTCGTCTTCGTCGCGTGCCACTGCGACGGCGAGTCGCGCGCCGCGGGCCTCGAGCGCTGCCTCGCGTCGCTCGAGGGCCCAGACGCGCGCGTTTGCTTGGCGTACTTCGCGGCCACGCCCGCGCTCGCGGCGCGCGTCGCCACCGCCGCCGCGCGGCTCCACCTCGCGGTCGCGAGCCCCGCGCCGCGGTCCCAGTTCGAGCACTACCGCGCGCTCTTCGAAAACGCCGACGCCGGCGACGCCTGGGTCCTCTTCAACGACGACGACGACGTCGCGCACCCGCGGCGGGCGGCCCGCTTCGCGGCGGCGGCCGCCGCCGCGCGGGCCGCCGGCGCGGAGGCCGCGTCGCTCCCCCACGCCGCGACGGCCGACGAGGCCGCGGCGGCCGCGGTCGCGAGCGCCGCGGACGTCGACGGGCTCCTCGCGGGCGGGCGCGCGCGGCTGGCCGAGTTTCCAAAAGAGTCGCCTTCCGGCGTCCCGCGTCGCGGCGGCGCGCGCTCGCGCGACGCCCCCCGCGTAGGCACTGGACGATCGCCGTCTCCCCGACGCTCCTCCGGGCCTTCTTCGAGGCCGCGCACCCGTCGCTCCTCGCGCACCGCTTCTGCGACGTGACCTTCGCGCGGTACGCGCGGGCGCGCGCCTTCGCCGCGCCGCGCCCCGAGGAGCCGTGGCTGTATTTTTACGCGCGCCACGGCTACGAGGCGCACTTGACCTGGCTGCTGACGCCGACGCCCGCCGACGTGGCCATGGCCGAGGCCTCGGGCGGCGACGCGCGGATCATCGTAGGCATGCGGCGCAAGGCGGAGCGGCAGGTGAGCGAGGGCGCGGTCGCGGGGCTCGCCCGCGTCAAGGCGCTCTGCGCGGCGGCCATCGCCACCGCTGACCCGCGCGCGCGCGCGCTGCACCAGAGCCTCGCCCGCCCGGTCGCGGAGCAGGTTCTGCGCACCTTCGCCCTCCCAGACTAGGCGGCGCGGCGGCGGGGGGCTGCTACTCGGGCGTCGCTTTATTATGAGTAGGGGCGCGCGCGCGGCGCCGGCTCACTGCGCCGTGTAGCCGCCGTCGACGGAGATGACGGAGCCGACGCAGAAGGGGATCTTCGCGACGCAGGCGACGAGGGCGGCGACCTCCGCGGGCGTGCCGAGGCGCGGGAGCGGCTGGGCCGTCTCGAGCCAGGCGTAGAGCTCCTCGGCGTTGGCGCCCTTCTTCTCGACGAAGTCGGCGACCGCGCCGTGCATGAGGGGCGTGTCGATGGTCCCCGGGCAGACGCAGTTGACGCGGATGCCCGCCGGCGCGTAGTGCGCCGCGAGGGACTTGGACAGCTGGGCGATGGCGCCCTTGGTGCAGCCGTAGAGGTGCTGCTCGGGCTTGCCGACCTGTGTGCGAATCAACCAGTGGAACGCCCTGTCCAGCAAAAACTTCAAACCTCTCTAGCTCGGTCGAATCGAAGTCGATTCGGCTGATTTTTGGACGAATCAATTGCTCTCATCGAGTTCTCGAAGCCAAGCCAAAGAAGTTGCGTCGAAACATTCGCGTACGCTCACATTGAAGTTGAGTTGAAGATTTGAATTCGGCACAGTTGCCGACGAGCGACTGGTCGCTGCCGATGATCACGACCGCGCCGCCGCGGTCCCGCATGTGGGGCACGGCGGCCTGGACGGCGAAGAACGTGCCCTTTAGATTGACGCCGACGACGCGGTCGAAGGCCCGCTCGTCGACGGCCTCGAAGTCGCCGCCGTGCCAGACCTGGGCAGGAAACGGGTGATTCAACGTCGCTTCGACGTGGGTGCGCGCTCGAGAAAAAGCATCCACGCGTCGAGACCGTTCCGAGAGATGATCGCTCGTCCAAAAGTCAGCCGAAACGAGTGGAACACGGCCGAGAGAGGAGCCTTTGAAGTTGGGAATGTCGCGCCCTTTTCCCGCCCCGGCGCCGGACGCCCGCGTTCGACACCAAGACGTCGACGCGGCCGTGGGCCTTGGCCACGGCGCCGATGGCCTTGCGCAGGGCGCGCACGTCGCTCACGTCGCAGGCGAGGTGCGTCACGCCGGGCGCGGCGGCCGGCGGCGCCGCGACGTCGACGCTGTAGACGACGGCGCCGGCCGCCGCGAGCGTCGCGCAGCACGCGGCGCCGATGCCCGTGGACCCGCCCGTGACGATGCACACGTCGCCGTCGTAGCGCGGCGACCCGAACTTGGCGGCGTCGAAGAGCGTCTTCGACCGGACGTCGGACCGCGCCGGCGCGCCGCCGGCGGCGACGGCGCAGAGGCCCGCGGCGGCGGCGGCGGCGGCGGCGGCGCGGCGCGCGGATGGATGCTGTGCGACGCGCGTCGACAGCGCGCGCGCGCGGCGCAGGTGCCGCGTTGCAAAGAGCGCGCGATGCATGTCGCCGGCGCGCAGAGAGAGCGTGGCGACGGCGCCGGTGGCTCGGCTGTCGGCGCGGACTAGCCGGGCTCGGGAGGCCGACGCTGAATGGGAAGTTGCATAGAAGTTGCAGCCCGACAGCACGGCGTGGGGCAGCAGCATGGCGTGAGCCATGTGGGGCGCGCGAGAGACGGCGCTCCCAGGCGTGGAAAGAGGAGACGACGGCGCGGCGGTTTTGAGCGACGCTGTCGTGAAGCATGGAGTGCGGTGTGCCATGCTCGCGATCGCCTCGGTGGGTGAGTCGGCGTGTTTCCATGCGAGTGAGTTCGAGGACATCGTGCTGAACGAACTGTCGAAACACCTCAACCAGCCGGACGGAGGCGCGCGGATTAAGAACGAATTCGGGGACGCGTTCTTCGGCACGATCAAGAAGATCCGGGATGGACTTGAGCCGCTGCTAATTCCGCTAGACGTTTTGAAGCAGGTCGTGGCAGAGGTCCTGGAGCGCGATGAGTTCCCGCCGAGCGCTTTCACACAGCGAGCACTTCGAGACGGCAGTCACAAGGGGGAGGCATTGATCCAGGCCGTGGCTCGCCAGCTCGAGCACACGGACGGAGGCGAGCTGCTAAAGGAGGAATTCGGGGACGCGATCAGGCACATGACGCACGACCGAACCCGGGCCGAGGCGCATGAGGAATTCAGCGCTCTCAAGCAGCCTCGGAAGGCGAGCATCTTCATGGCCATGGCGGAACGCCCGAAATTGGAGAAGCGGGGAATGTCTCCCGGCGAGATCGGCGCACCGCGGCGTCCTGGAGCTGTTTTTACGCGCGATGATGCCTCCCCGCAGGCAAAAATCTCGGCAGGTTATGGAGAGAGCTAACGCCAGAGCAGAAGCAAACCTACGAGAAGATGGAGGCCAACGACAAAAGTCGCTACGCTATTGAGGTCGGTTTTTTTAACGAGTCTACGGCGCGTCTCGGGCTCTCATCGTCTTTGTCGTGGATCTTCCCTTGCACCGGCCGGCTCCGTTGCGAGGACAGCCAGTGGCGCATGGATCAGCTGATGGACAATATTTCAGAAGAAAACCAAATCGTGGCGACGGTCGGGCTCCCGGAGGTTGCGCTGACGAGCGGCAAATGGTTTTACGAAGTAGAAATCACGGAGGTGTGCGATCCGCAGTTCGGCTGGGCCCTGCGCGGCTGGGAACCGTTGTGTGTGCTCGGGCAGTACGGCTGCGGCGAGGACCGTTTCTCGTACGCGGCGTGCAACGGAGGCTTTTTCCTGCACAATTCCGAGCCTTCCCCTCAAGAGCGGAGAGCACCGCTTTGGTCGGTCGGCGACACCGTCGGCTTTATGCTCGACCTCGACGGCCGCGAGATCCGCTTCTCCGTCAACGGAGAATGCAACGAGTTCGTCTTCCGCTCCATCTCCGTCGGCAGCGTGGGATACTACCCCGCGCTGTCCATGCGGGCGGGCGTCGTCGACATCAACTTTGGAGGCTCGCGCGCTCTGAAATTTCTTCCCAACGGCTACACGCCCGTCGCCGAGCAGCAAAAGAAGCAGATGCGTGCGGAGAGAGATGCCTTGGATACGAAGATAGAAGCCATGGAGAAACAACTACATCGCGGCACGGAGCGGCTCGGCGTTAAGAAGAAGCACGAGGCGACGCTGCTCGAGATTAACGCGAAGTACGAAGCGGCGACGGCGGCATCAGAGGCG